GATCAATATGATATTGTGCGGGTGCGTGATAATAGTGATGAAGAATGTTGTTCACATACATTTGGCAGATTAGATGAATACATGTAAAAAGGGTTAAGTGTATGTACGTATTCTGATCATTGTGTTTTATATAAAACAATCGTTTATCTAATATGAGTGTCGTCTTTGTTTACCTGTTTATCTTTGATTTGAACCGCTATAGACATATACTCTTCAGATCTGGATCTAGGATGATTACCTTTTAGGTCCTAAGCTCTAGACATAGATTTAGGATTAGCATTTGCGTGAGTATCAATTCTTAATGCTCTGTGTTGTGTTTTTGTTGCGTGAGACATCACCAATGAGACAACACGGTTGTTCTCTCGATGTTGCGTTAGAGATGACCTCTGTCGTGGGTGATACATGAGGATATTAGACGAATGATTGAGTTGTGTTTAACATGTTCAGAAGAATGCATGTGTTATCAATTGATGAGAATCAATCTCATCAAGGCTCCATTTATATTTCAGTTTTTACTTTATATTTTTCATCTTTATATTTTCTGTCTTTTATTCATGGTTCCTTGAACCTTTTAAACCAAACCTTTTGAACAAAAACTTTAGAAATGTAGAGACCGTTGAACGACGTTCTTTCATCGCACCGATCCCTGTGGATACGACAAAACTGGGTACTTAATATGTTTTCTTGCTGCTCAACCGCTTCAACAAAATGGCGCCGTTGGCGGGGATTGGTGTTGAGATATTGAAGTGCATTGCAACTATTTCTATATTTTTAAGCTTTGTATATTTATTTATATCGTATATATTTGTTTCCTTTTACATTTCCTCTAGTGTGATTAGGAATGATGAGAACTCCTTCTAGAGTGGTTGCTATTTGTATAAAAGCATTCAACGAAGGTTCGACCGAGTTTGGATGGCTATGATAGTATGGAACAAGTGAATGTTGTCAAGATACATGGTTACCTTTGTTTAGAATTTTATATTGCTTAAGGACTTAAGTCTTTGTGCAAATGAATTTTGTTCTTTTAGCAACTTGTTTGAATGATTGTTTCACTGAGGACCAAAACCACTATTTGTGAGAAAGCTTCCATTGTTCACTAAATGTTGGATTACTAATAAACTCTGTTGATTCGTTTGATTCATGATTTATATTGTGGTTATTGTGTATTTGTGAAAGCATTAGAAATGATCAAGGCACTTGTTTATATTGAGCACAACCATGTCCAAATATAACTTACTCGTGAGTAGAGAGAATTCGTTAACCCCCCCTTTGAGCCTAAGCAATGTGAATCTCATTCTGAATTTTTGTGAGATTCTAAAAATTTTCTTGAACCCTTGAATTTTGTTTTAATTGTCCTCTTTGCCATAAAAAACCAAGAGCATTAACTTGAGGGTTGAGTAAAAGTTAAGTTGGGTAGAATGAAAAGGAAGAATGGTAGGTTGCTACAACTTTTGAAAAATTCAAGCAAGCATTGAAAAAATTGTGTGAATATGAAGAAAAAAAAGGAGAAAAGTAATGCTTGCTTGGAAAAGAAAAATAGTGAAAGAATAAGTTGTGAAATAAAGTTGGGAAGGTTTGCAATTGAGAAACAAATGGAATGAAGTTGGGATGTGTAAATAACATGTACAGTGAATGTCTCTTTTGCATCGGCAATTTCGTTTTAATGGCCTTAGAAATGTCCCTTGTTTATCAATGAACAAACTTTTGACATGGTTTTGTAAGTTGATATTCATTGTATCTTCTATTTTATTGTGTTGATTAAGTAACATGAGTAGCATGAGTAGGATCAATACGATATTGTGCGGGTGCGTGATAATAGTGATGAAGAACGATGTTCACATACATTTGACAGATTATATGAATACATGTAAAAAGGGTTAAGCGTATGTACGTATTCTGATCATTGTGTTTTATATGAAACAATCGTTTATCTGATATGGGTGTCGTCTTTGTTTACTTGTTTATCTTTGATTTGAACTGCTATAGACATATACTCTTCAGATCTGGATCTAGGATGATTACTTGTTAGGTCCTAAACTCTAGACATAGATTTAGGCTTAGTATCTGTCTGAGTATCAGTTCTTAATACCCTGTGTTATGTTTTTGTTGCGTGAGACATCACCAATAAGACAACACGGTTGTTCTCTCGATATTGCGTTAGAGATGACCTCTGTCGTGGGTGATACGTGAGGATATTAGACGAATGATTGAGTTGTGTTTAATATGTTCAGAAGAATGCATGTGTTATCAATTGATGATATCCAATCCCAACAAGGCTCTATTTATATTTCAGTCTTTACTTTATATTTTTCGTCTTTATATTTTCTGTCGTTTATTCATGGTTCCTTGAACCTTTTAAACCAAACCTTTTGAACAAAAAGTTTATAAATGTAGAGACGTTGAACGGCGTTCTTTCATCGCATTGATCCATGCGGATACGACAAAATTGGATACTTAATATTTTTGCTTGCTGCTCAACCGCTTCAACAAACTCCTCCAACGTCTTTAGCTATTAGTTCATATCAATTGAAAAATATAAAAATATAAAGAGTCATTAAAAGCTTTTTCCATTTGGGAAAAAGTTAAATAAGAAAAATTTTGTAAAAAAACAATGTCTAGCCAGCGTTACTTTGACCGTATTAACATAACACTTAATTTTTCATGGTTCCCGCCTTCCTTTTTTGAATATTATTTTCCCTCTTTAGCGAAAATTACTCACGTGCGTTTTTTTTCATTACATTCTTCTTATCCTTATATATTTTTTCTTAAATAAAATAATTCACAATTTTTTTTCTCTTCACTCTTTCTCTATAAAAGGGCCTCACTTGTTTATCTTTGTAAGTCGCTCTCTCAAATAGAAAAAAAAAATTTCACTCACATTTTTGTGCTCTCTTTCGGTGGGTCGGCATTTTCTTTCTTTCACATAAAGACTCAATTTGTGAGTAATATTTTAGGTTCAAAAGGTAAAAAAAAACTCAAATCACATATTTTTTTTTGCACGATATGCATCTTGTGAATCTATAGTTTTATCTATGTAGTACCGACACTTCTGAAAAAGCAGTGTGTATGTGTTAGACACCGACACCTACAACAACACGTATAATTACCTTTAATTTTTTATTTTTAAAATTATTACTGTTGTCGCAATATCGATATCGGCGCCGTGTTAAGAGTATCTTTGCATCATAGATTTTGATTTGTTTAGGTTTAATTTTGTATGGTATAAATTTTGAATTATTGTTATGTTTGACGATCTAAAAATTTCTATGTTTTGAAGGATTGAAGTTTTTCTACAACATTGGGAGGTCATCTTCATCTATGTATGAGATTCAAATAAAGTTCTAGCTAATTATTTCTCGGATTTGGATCCTCTTATGTTATTTCTCTCGTTTTTTTTATGACTTATTATTAACTATTAGATCTAATATTTTCTCTCTCTTTTATATTATTATTATTTTTTTGTTAGTGTTATAGTTAACCATTGAATTGAAAAAAAGAGGAAGGACCGAAGCAAAAGAGCATTAGAGGATCCAATTCTTCCTTTTCCTCAACTAATTTTTAGGTAAATTATTTCATTTCTATGCATTTTTTGTGAAGGTTGTCGTAGGAAAATGTGTTAATCTTTTTTACACTAGATCTTGATTATATTTTATTCTCTATATGTTTGTTCAAATTTAATATGTATTAATTATATTTAGATTCATTTTCTTTTCCATTTTTACATGTGAATATACAACACTATACACAAAATATTAGAAAAACAAGTTATTCACAAAAAATTGATTCAAATAACTTTTAAAATAAAAAGTTTATGATAAGTTGTTTTTTTTTATTTTATCTTAATTTCAAGTTTATTTTAATCTCTTAACTTAAAAGATTTATATTAATTTTTTATTATTCAAATCGTATCATATTAATATTTTTTATCTAATTAACGACTATTTTTTAGTTTTTTCATTATTAATTAGACAAAAATATTAATATAATATATTTTGAAGAATTAAGAGATCGATATAGTTTTTTTAAAATTAAAATATTAAAATTAACTTTGATGTTAACACATGAAAATTTTGTGAATGCTATATCATTTTGCGTTATTCACTTTTAGATTAAATGACGTGAATTTATATTTTTTTTACCAATTTAAATTAATGAACTTTTTTTAGTAAAATTAAAATTCGGCCCCAATATCACAAATTGTCATAATTAAGAGTATTTAAGTTATCCCTGAAAAAATTTGAAATAAATTTTCATACGCAAATTTCTTGTAAATAGATTAGAATTTCTGGTACACACTAAAAACTTTGAGCAATTTTATTTGAGTTACAACCATCATTTGTCACAAAAAAATATATATAGTCAAATTTTTTTAGTAATTGGCATCAACTTAATATTCAAATAGAATTTCTAAAACTCATTTTTCTTTTATTTCATTTTGTCTTTTAGATTCAATATTTCTACAACACGCGTAACTTTAAAAAACAGTAGTTGGTGTAGTGTTTTTTTTTTAATATAAATTTATTATTATTATAAATAAAAGAGTCTCGTGCAAGAATTTAGATTCCAGAAACTTTTTTTCTTCGTGATTTTATATTATCACTCTATTGACCTTTTTTTTTTCTTTTTTCACTTTTCATAAGATTTGGATTCATGAATTTTGATCAATCCATTAACTAAAAACGTTGTTCTTGTTTTTTTTTTTTCATTTTGGTTTCTTTCTTTTTGAATTTTATTGTTTGGATTGGGAATTTTTAACTACCCTTCTTCTTTTTTACCTTTTCATTTCCATGTTACTATAATAAACATAAAAATTCCTTTATTTTTTTTTCTCTTTTTTCTTCCTTTATTCATGTGCATAAGGTTTATAAGAAAAAATAATTATATATAGTTACACAACTTTTTTTCTTTTTTTTTCTTTTAATAAATATAATTCAGTTTTTTTTTATTTGACAAAATGCAGTGTAAAATTTGTAAAGTGAAGAATAAATCCAAAACAAAAAATGTCACAACAACAACGACCATCGCCAGCAGCAGTTTTTCTGACAAAAATCTATGATATGTTAGATGATTCTCAGACTGATGACATAATTTGTTGGAGTTCAAATGGAAACAGTTTTGTTGTAGGACAACAAATTGAATTTGCTAGGGATTTGCTCCCTAAATATTTCAAACACAACAATTTTTCAAGTTTTGTGCGTCAACTTAACACTTATGTAAGTTTCCTCTTTTATCTTCTCTCTATTCTCTTATTTTTTATTTATTAGTTAAATAAATATAATATTCGGTGATAATAATTAATATATTTAATATGAAATATAAAATAGATATATTTATTTATTGATTATTCATTGAATTTGATTTTCTTTTACATATTTAAGATTGTAAGGAGTAATTAAACTCTTATAAAATTAAATTTATTTTATACATTTGAATTTATTTTAGTACATTTAAAATTTATTTGAAACTTTTATTTTAAATATTATTATTTTAGTCTAGGTAATTTTTAATCATTAAAATTTGTGTACATTGTATTTTATCATAATATTCACAATAAATTAAAAATAATAAAAGTAATTTCAATAACTACAAAAGAAATAGATAATATTATTTAAATTTAGCTTAAAGTTTTTTTTTATAAATATTCTAAAATTCTATAGTTTTTATAAAGGACATTTCATTTTTTCACTCATATGTCACATTTTTCTTCTTTAATTCCTTTTATCTTTTTTGACAAATGTTTGAAAATCAAGCTGTTTTTATAGAAGAAAAAGTAAGAAAAAATCCTCTAGAAAAATATTTTTAATATACTGTGATGATTTATTTTAAAGTGGATTTTTCCAAATCAAATTAATGGTAGAATAATTATTTTTGACCCATTTTGTCTACTAATATTTTGAATGTCAAATTGTACGGTAGTTGATTTAAAATATAAATATAACTATTGTCTTGTTTGACTGTGTTATTTAATGTTTATTCATTAAAGCAATATATTTTCATTATACTTTAAATTTATAATTTGTTAATCAATGTTTGATAAAGAAAATAGTCACTTCTATCTTTTGACTGTAATAAATACAAACATAAATATAAATACTTTATTTTTTTGAATAATTTCTACTTTGTTTAAATAATTAAAAGTCAAATTGATTACAAAGGTTTTTTTTTAAAGAGAAATTGTTTATAATTGTTTTTTTATTTTTTTATTATGATACTTTTTTGAATAGATTTTCTTCTTTGTTGGTCTTAATATTTGTTTGATTTTATAAAAAATAATATTCTCTGATCCTCCTATGTATAAAAGAATTTATTATTTAAAGTTATTTAATAATTTTATTATATTGATTATTAAAAAATTAATAAATATTTTTTATAAATTGAATTGGAGAAAGTATAAAGTGTTTTTCTTTTAAAATACTTTAGATGTCTTGCGGATATAATCTAAATTTTAAATATTAATAGTAACGGATATTGAAACATGGTCACTCTTACTCTTAATTTACAATTATAAATATGCTAAAAAGAAATGTAGAATTTACAAAAGGAAGAGTTATAAAAAATTAGTGTTTGTTTTGAATGTTTTATTAATTTTAAAATTATTTTTTTCAGGGATTTCGAAAAATAGCGAGTGACAAATGGGAATTTGCCAATGAGAATTTCAAGCGAGGACAAAGAGAGCTACTGCCAGCAATTAAGCGTCAAAAGAGCCAATCATATGTGGCTATAAGACCCGTTGGTGTCCATAGGAGTTCAGCATCGAATCCCAGTCCCGAAAACATGAGCTCAACCTCAACCGGATCAGAATTAATGGAACGAAATATCCAGATCTCTCACTTAACCAGTGAAAATGAGAACTTGAAGAAGGAGAACGAGGAACTTAAGAGTCAATTGGCTCTTGCAAAGAAGAAGTGTGACGAACTGGTTGCTTTAGTTCATGACAATGTCAATGTTAGGGATGATGAGATTAACTGCATCATTCAGCAAGGAATAGGCGGGTCCAGCCATGATGCGGCGCGTTCTGATGATGATGCTGCAGGCGTAGGAAAATGTAAGGGTCAAGAGGGTGTTAAACTGTTTGGAGTTTGGGTTAAGGGTGGTGGAGAAGGGAGAGATAAAGTGAGCATTGAAAATTGTGACGGTAAGCGTCAGAAAAGGGGGCATGAAGAGACTGCTGGTAGTGAAAACAAGGATTTCAATAATTGATGAATCTTAAGTGTATGGATAATGATAGTTGTTATTTGGTTATTTTGTAGTTTAGATTTGGTGATGTACAATGGTCTTTAGTTGGACATTGTTAAAATAAATGTATGGTTTTTATAAGACTATCATTAGACAAGTTTTATAAAATGTATGGTTATTTTGTAGTTTAGATTTGGTGATGCACAGTTCTATTCATTTAGTTATTTTATATTTTATAGCAATGATTTCCAACATTCAAATAATGTGATAGTGGGTTAAGATGTAAGATAGACTAAACAACTAAGTGAAATGGTCATCAATAGTTTAGATTTAAGAAAAAAAAATTATTTTGACATTAATCCATCATTGATCTAGAATAAAAGTCATAAAAATAAAGAATAAAAAAGAAGGGTTTCAATTGTTACTCTTTAAAAATTATTTGTTTGAGAAATAAATATTTTATTCATATATTATTAAATTCGAATGAAATTTGGGTAACATTATTATAATCATATATGTTTTAATATACACAAGCACATGTTAAATAACAATAAACATAAATAATAAAAAAAGTTATGAGAGTTTTTTTCAACTCCATAACCATGAAGACAAAGAGATGAATATGCAATAATGATGTCATGATAAATAAAATTAGTTTTTGTGAGAATATTGATTTGTATCATCTGCCTAGCAAAAAAACAACATCTTTAGAGGGACAATCTTATTTCAAATTAGGTTTCGGAGTAGTTGAGATTTTCTCCATTTTTTTTTAAAATGGAGAACACAATTACTAAACTATTTGTATATAAACGCACATATTTTTGAAATGTGTGACATATATTTTTTATAATTTGACTTGTATATATTTAAAACGTTAGTAATTAAATTCTCAATTTCTTTAAAAAAAATGGAGAGGATCCACACCCGTTCTGGAGAGATAAAGATTCTTTCAAGATATTTTGAATAAACAAATGGTAAACATCCTTGATTTAGATTAAATGTCAATTGTGATTGAGTCTCCAAACTCATAAATCTAAAATATTTTGCAACATGAAAATTTTAAGTGTTGACTAAAGTTGTTTTGAAGAAAGATGTTCTTTAATTTTTGTGTGTTGATGATGACATAATATAAGAGAACAGTTTTATTGTCAAATGTTTGTTACATATGTATACAATTTTAAAAATAATTCTATGTAATTTATTTTTTAGAAATGATCATCTGATCTAAAGATAAATTTGAAAGATATCATTTTTTGCATTGCATTGAACATCTTGGTGCAACATTTGTTTAAGCATCCCCTGGGTGAATGTACTTCTCTCTATTATTTGTTGGTACATGTTGTCTACATTATCATCAGGATATGAGTACCCAAAGTAATCATCATTATTCTTTGGTCAATTCTATGTTTAAAGTCAACAGTTGAATCATTTTTTTGAATATTAAATTTGCATCGTCTAATGAAGAGGTTTTAATATTTATCCTCTTCTAAATGTTTACACATTTTCTTAAAAAACTGTTTTATGATTTATCCTCTAATGTGTTTGAATATTAAATTTAGAACATAAATGCTAAATGTTAAGAGACAAATAAGCAATACTGCACAAGATACATATTTTACATGACAAAAGGTACAACATTGTGCATGACAAGACCTGATGTAAGTACAAGGATAAGAAGTGGCACGATGTAATAGTAAAAGTATTACACCAACTTCTTAAAAAAAAAATAAACCTAGTAGTGGTAAACTAAAAAAAAAAGCTATATAAAGACTCAACTTTTCACTATTTTATTCACCACACTAAACAACATTGAAGAACAATTTGAATTAACATTTGAGAAGACAAAGACGTTCACATGGGATCAATTCTTTGTGTTTAAAAAAATCTAATATATAGGTTAGTTGGACTAGATAATACATTTGTGATATTGTAACTATTCTATGATAAAACTTGAGAGGATCATAAAGAGTTGATTCATAGTCTGTCACAATGGTTTGATGCTTCCAATGAGGTGGAGAAGGGGTTGGCCTGCAAGGTTAGCACTCCAACGCTCAAGTGAGTAAGAGAGTGAAAGTGGAGTTTGAATGTAAAAGTATTTAAATACCTCAGAAAGAGGTCGTTCTCTTTTTTAAATAGGACAATTAGTTAGCAATTGAACGTGTGTGATGAGGCATGCTACGCGGTCAACCATTAGATCAATCTGGATAGTTGAGATAGCACTTGAGAGGGAGGTTTCCTATTTTGGGGTAAAAGGCATCCACCTACTCTTCCTTAGATTTTGCTCTATATAGTTATTGTTATTTCGTATTTTTAGGCCTCTTGGACGGCCCAGAACAATATTCAATTAGATTATAGTAAAAATCTCTCAAGTGTGAAGGGATTGGACATAACTCTAAGTTTATGGGTGAACTAGGATAAATTCCTAGTGTCAATCTATACTCCTTTAGCTCCTTAACATTTAGCATTTATGTTTTACTTGAGTTTTATTTTAAATAAACCTGAAAAGGTTTTAAAACATAACATAATTCAAACACACACTTATTTTCTTTTTTCATCTTCAGTTAACATCATAACTTCACTCTCTTACTTGAACACTTAATCGTGTAATAGTGAAATATTTTTTAGAAAAATGGCTAAACCTTCAAATTCTAATGTTGAATACACTAGTAATTCTTAATTAACCAAAGCTTGTAGTTTTTTCATCTTGTAAGATTTGGAACTATTGAGTTTATTTATGTAAGGATATGTACATCATAAATATGATGAAGGAAAGGATATAGATTCATTCACTATAGTTATAGGCACTATATGGTTTCTTGGAACAAAATTGACGAAAATGGTATAATTATAAGAAATAAAGCAAGGATGGTGGAAAAAAGATACAATCATTCTTAAGGGATTGACTATAAGGAGATGTATTATCCCATCGCTCGTCTCGAAGAGATTCGTCTCCTTTTAGAATTCACATGTTGCATGACTTTGAAATTATATCATATGAATGTATGTCTGCCTTCGTTAACGGGTTTATAAAAAAAAAGATGTATGCATTTCTCAACCTCCTGATTTTGAGAATCATGAAAATTCTAACCATGTTTTAGACTAAAAAGGGGTCTTTATGGTCTTAAACAATCTCCTACAGCTTGGTATGAGTTCCTTAGTGGCTTCTTACTAAATAAAGAATGTAATCGTGGAATCGTAAACACTAATTTATTGTGTAGTAGAATTCAATTTGGTTTTCCTATTTTTTTCAAGTTCTTGATAAAGAAGAGATCGTTACCTATTTTCTTTTCGTGCGGTATTGCTTTTAGAGAGTGATCTACATATCACTTCTCTAGTATGCATTAGAACTAACATTTCTATTTACCGGCCTCTGATAGTTGTGGTTTCTACATGAACCCGATTACGATTGCTTAACATAACGCTAAATTATCCCGTAATCAGAAAATGATCATTAATGGCTCAAACTTATATTTGAAAGTCCAAGTATGGTTGATTATTTATCTTAGGTCCATTACCCATGAAACTTGTTGTTAGGAAGCTTTGATTTTATCAATCCTCTAATGTATTTTCATTAATTTTGGCTTAAGCGCATGAGTTAGCCATCGTTGATCATTTGTTCTAACAACTAATCACTAACTCACTAACAATATTATTGTGCTAATTTTGTTTATGTTTCTTTCTTACTCCCTATCTCTCTTTTATTTTTATGTTCCATTATTATCATCTCATATCATATTATAGTTTATGCTTCCGCTCTCTTTTTGTTTTGTCCATTTGGACCATATCTTGTTCAAAACACTAATAATAGATTAAACCTCTAAAAAACTTGGTGCTCTTGATTTTATGGTTATGCTCATGGATGGACTTAGACCTTGAACCTCTTGGACTATTCTTGGACCCTTGGACTTAGAATTAAGACTTTTTTCCTATGCTTGGAGTATTATGGATCTTTGTCTTTATTTGACTTGTTTATTTGCTTATGCTTCAAAACTGATGGAATTCTTATTTCACTCGCTATGAAGTGTGCTACATTTTGTTTAACCACGTTCTTTGGTTTCCTAAAGAAAATGAATGTATCATAAAAATAGATACACATTAAAAATAATAAAGTTTATTGACTGTCTTGGTATAAATATAATATAAACAAACTACAAGTAAAAAAGGACTAAGAGAGAAAAATACAAAATAGTTGAATGTATCTATTGAAACTACCCATTGTTTTATACTATTTCCTTTGTTCATATTTGCTAGTTGTTTTTATGAAGAAAAAATTTGTTGTTTTAAAAGTTAATAAAACATTAATTGTTGATTTTTTTTTGTCAAATAGTATAATGGATGAAATTAACGTTTTAAAGGCGAACAAGTGAAATATTGTAGGTTCGAACCTACACTCCTGAATTTTATAGTCTTGCACAGCTGTCAACTGAACTGCCTTAGTTGGACTTAATTATTTTTTTTAAAATACTCTTAAATATGCATTGGAATGAGAGAAATAAGTAGAATAAAATAAAAATAATAATTAAAAATATTTTATCATATATATATATATATATATATATATATATATATATATATATATATATATATATATATATATATATATATATATATATATATATATATATATATATATATATATATATATATATATATATATATATATATATATATATATATATATATATATATATATATATATATTCCATTGCTATTTGTCAATAACATTAAAAATACAGATGAAAAAGGAAATGAGAAAGCCATTTTTATATGGAAATAAAATGTTGGTTGGTACCTTCTTGACCATTAAATATTTAATAAATATTATGTTTAATATAGATAATTTTAATAGTTTTTAAATTAATAAAATATTATTATTTTTATCATTTTCAGAATATAAAGCATCACATTTTATGTAATTAATTATTTAATGTATCCTTATTGTTTAAAAATATTTTTAAAAAATGGGGAATTTTAACTTTACTACATGAACTACAATAAATATAGTAAATTTTTTAAAGATTTAT